GCAGAGACACTGAGATTCACTTTCTCAAAGAAAGAAGAGGGTATTCACACTTCATGGTTTTCCTGATTATGAAGATGGATACACTATTTCAGATTAAAGGCCCAGAGAAAACAATGATATTTATATACACTCATCTGTGAAGTTTAACTCTCTGAACTTCTCAAAAAGAAGTTTGTTGTGCCTCTGGTCCTTACCAGTGAGTTCAAGCTCCAAGCTACTCACTCAAAGAGAAGGCTGCATTAATGATAGGCATATAAAGAGAAGAACTCAAAACCACCAAGGAGATGAAAAATGTCCAACATGAAAAATGTGTCAGAGGTCACTGAAATTTGGTAATGGCTCTGCATTAGTTGGGATTTCTAACTGGAGGAATAGCCTGGAAATTAATAAGGGAAAATGTGGAATATAAAGACCCTTTGTATGTGAAGAGATGCCAAAGACAGCAAAGAAGAGTTTCAACTAGAGCATTAGATTGAATTTGATCTTCAACCCACCAACACGTGGTGATAAAACAGACACTGAGAAGCAGGGTGGAGGCCCCAGCCGCAGTCCATAAGAACCTCTGGGAAGAGAAGCATCCTCCCTCTGTAGAAAGAAAGACACAAACACAGTCAGTCTTCCCAAAGTGAGATATAAAAAATATTTAAGATAATCTTCTATCCTCATTTATTTGTTCCACTCGCATTGTCTGTATTGAGAAACCCCCAATTTTCAGCATGCATCAGAATCACCTGGAGGGCTTGTTGAGACACAGATTGCTGAGTTGGGCCCCAGAATTAACAAATTAGTAGCATTTGTGTGGAAACAACCCATTTCCAGGGGCGACTGATGCTGCTGGTTTGAGGACCACAGTTTAAGAACCACTAGTGTGATTCATTGTGATTTTAACTCTGATTCAGGACCTCATGAGTTTTCCTTTCTAAGTCACCAAGCTAAAAAGATGCTTTTTTCCCCCCACTTCTTTCTCTGTCTTTCATCCCTTTCCCCATCTCTGTTTTTGTGTGTCTCTCTTAACTTCTATTCAGTATCTCTCTTTCCAAGCTCTTTGTAAATTAGTCAGGTGAACATTATCAATCATGTAGTAGTTTCTTCCTCCTCCCAGTATACACGTTAACAGAAAAGGAAAGTGAGTTCTTCAGAAGAGAAAGAAGTGCTTAGAGTGACCCAGCATATCACAGAAAAGTAGAAACAGTAATCTGTTGCTTTCCCTGAATATGTTCTCTCTCTTACCGTGTTTGTCACCTGTTGGTCCAGTAAGTGATCTATGGAAGAAAAGGAACAGTTGCAAATTTTACCTGTGCATTGGAATACATATGATTCAGATGGATTCATTTTTTTCTTTCTCTCTCTCCCTCTCTCCTTTTTCTCTCTTCCTCTTTTTTCAGGTTCTGAGTCCAGGACTATTTGCTTGGTAAGATTCCAGGGAAAAAAATGAATCTTGAAAGATGAACACTTCATCTGCTTTTAGAAAGTTCAAATCTAACCAGGCTAAGAGTCTTAGCTTGTTCTGCAGCTGTGCCTGCAGGATTTCCCTTCTTTGTTAGGAGGATAAGGGAGTGACTGAGCAAACTGCCAGTCCTTACTTATGAAAACAAAGTGAGGAAAAAATGAAATGGTAACCACAAACAGAAGTAGGCTGACCAGGGGAAAACATGAGAGAGCCCTATTTTGATGGATGCAATGTCTCACTTTCTCGAAGGTCTAAATCATTCCCACTTTTTCTTTGGCACTGTGGAGCTCACCTCTTTATTTCTAATTCCACTTTTAATCTATATGATGTACACATTTGTTCACTGAAAAGGGGACTGAGAGCCAAACCCTCACACCACTTAGCATGGAGCTGGACACAGAATGTATAGTAATGACTAAGCCACAAGAATTTTTTCCCATCTTGTATCTTTTCCTTCTTCACTTGTAGCTCTCGAATATTCTAATGTCATGGATTTTTATCCCTTTACAAAACCACTAGGTTTTCACACAGGTGTACCTTAGCTGAGCAATCTCGAGCAATACAGCTACTCTGAAACCCAATTCAAGTTGTTCAACAACACACAACTTCTGGAGCTTCAAAGACTCACCAGTTACTTTAATTCTATTATTCAGATTTATTTGGGAATTTTTGGTTCTATTATTGCAACCTACAATATGAGAAATGGATTTGAATGTTGGAAGAACATATTTTGATTAGATGTTATAGTTCCATGCTTCTCTGGAATATTTGTTCTATCTGTGCCATTTGCTTTCTTAAAGATATTAAAGAAAAGGTAACTCTAGTCTCAGCTGTCTTAAGTTCACAAGTGTTAAGAAGCAGAAGAATCATATTCATGCCTTGCAACCTCAATAATTTGATGAACCAGACATCTCACGTGTTAGAAAATATTTTTGGACTTATGGGGACTTTTTACTGTTTTAAAAGGTTGGAAAATTGCCTCTACATTCCTAATTTTGTAGTAATACATATTTATTAAAATGTTTGCAAATTTATCTGTCAATTGTTGTGGTTTTGATAAGTATTTCTCAGAATGTTTCTATAAAGGCTTGGTTCCCAGCGTGGAGGTTTGGGAGGTGCTGTGGACCTTTAAGAGGTGGGCTTTGTGGAATGTCCTTGGCTTCATTGGGAGCATGACCTTGAAGATTTTTGCACTTGGTCTGTGTCTCTGCTACCTGGCTACTGCCATGATGTTACCTCACCTAAGGTCCAATCCATGGATTGAATCAGAACCATGAGCTGAAATAAATTTTTCTTTATATTTCATAAGTGACCTGTGTTAGGCATTTCATTATAGTGATGGAAAGCTAAATAGTGTATGTGTATTCTTCAATATTTAATATGTGTGTTATTAGCAAATGCCTTTTAACCAGTAAAAAGAGAGAAATTATCTAGTAGTTGAGTTACAAATTACTAAATATGACTCAATTATCACAGTCAATTATGATATTTAATTATAATCAATTATTAACATCAACCAGTAATCATTAATGTTACCTTAACTCATTTTTTGTCAATATGCAATCAAGCATATATAAATAGATGAATATTCTGCTGGTCAAAATACATATATTTTGTATTATTTGTGTTATCTTTTAATATACTTATTAAGTTTACAAATTAATGGGATTCACTGTGTTACTTCCATCCATGCATAAAAATTCATTGATTATATTCATCTACCCTTTTTCAACTCTCAGAACGTCTCCCTGCACCCTTCCCAATCCCTAGAAATCACCCTTCTACTTTCACTGTTACTATTATTATTTGAACAAATGGTTATCCTGTTATCTGTGAGACTAATTAAGAATAATATAATTTTAAAAACTTTATGTTCGCTCATTCCTTCTCCAGGGTGTTTCCTTTATTCAGATTCATGTTTGTTTCTGACCTGTGTCATTTTTCTCTGTCTAAAGAACTTTCAACATTTCTTATGAGGCAATTCTACTGGCAAGATTTTCCATCCATATTTATTTATGTGATTAAGTCTTTCTTCTTTATTTTTAGAAGTTTTCAGCGTACATAAATCTAAGTTGGTGGCTTTTTTCTTTCAATATTTAAAGCTGAATGTCACTCCACTTTTTTCCACCTTGCATGGTTTCTGTAAAAAAGACAGACATAATTCTTTTATTTGCTTCCTGTAGATAAGGTTTCCCATACTCCCCAGTTTCTTTTGTAATTTTTTTCTTTGATTTTCTGTAGTTAGAATATGCGTATGTATGTGTACATATATTTACACACCCTTACATTTGCATTATTGTGTTTGGTGTTCTTTGAACTTTAGGTGTCTGACATGAATTTGGGGGAAATTCTCAGTCATTGTTGTTTCAAGTATTTCTTCTCTTTCTAGTATTCCCACAATATGCATTTTGTACTTTAGGAAATTATCTATCAGTTTAGAATATTCTAAATTTTCATTCTTCTTTTTTCTGTGTACTTTTCAGTTTGGGAATTTTCTGTTGAGATTGGCCTAAGCTCAGAGGATCTTTTTCAATCGTGTACTATTAGTCTATCTGGGACATTCTTCATTTGTGTTAGTGTTTTTTAAAAAATTTCTAGTATTTTGGTTCATTGCTAGAATATTGATCTTTCTGTGTATGTTTATAAGATTCAAAAGTAATGGGCACTTGTTAGTAACTAATATTCCCTGTTTCTTTCTCTGTGGAGTAAATCTATTTAAAATAATGCCACTGCTTGAAAAAAAGACTACCCAAAATGGAAAAGTGAGATTTAATTATTCCATGATAAACACATATTTTAAGCATTGCTTGTACTCCCTAAGTATTTGCAATATCAGATGTTAAAAACCCATAACTTAGTAAGTGATTGTGAAATAATCACAAATTATTTGTCTAATGAAAATCTTTTGCTTGTTTTTACAGAGATAAACACTAAATATTTCCTGCTTTGTCTGAGATTATATAAGCATTAAATGATTAAAAGTCAAGTATCTTTACCAGACTATACCTTTGATACTCTCCTTCCTGATCTCCCTGACTTCCTACCTCATGAAATTTTGATAATGATGAGGACACCATTTGGATAAAGCCTCTTGAGTCATGTCAACAGAATTCTGGTACAGTATTCAATACTTAACCTTGGAATGTCTGGTAAACATGAGCCCACTGAGAATACAAAATACCCAGGAGTTATTTTATGATTTATAATTTGTTTTTAATTAGGTGTTTTTCTTAAGAGAATAAGGATTCCCATATGCAAAGTTAGAGACTTGTGGATCCTTGGAGACTTATACTGACTCTGTGAATGGGACATGAATTGAGGGCTGGGCAGGTGCAAAGCAAAATACTCCCCCAAAACAAAGACATGTTTATATATTAATTCATTTGCATCAGGGAAAAGTGAATGCTTTATAAACTTGACCCACATTGATTAGAGAGACATTTGTTTTGAATAAGTTCTGATCAAACACTCTTAGGATTGACTAGTTCATGACAAAATTCTCAGTAAACTATATAATTGAGGTTTTTATCAATTCATTATCAATGTTAATATGAAATTACCTGCTGCTTTTCCTCTTCTGGCTTTTCTACTTCTTGTGTTCCAAGAACAACATTCTAGTCTTTCCATAAATGGACCTGCTTCTCCTGGCTACTATCAAGATGGGGACTTCATTATTGGTGGACTCTTTTCCCTCAGAGTGACTGCTGGTGACACCAGAAGTCGATTTGGCTTTGACAATACATTTTATATAACAGAGTTGGTTTATGCGTAAGTGTGAGGCTTCTCTTAAGAGAATCTTCTCATAAGGTGAAGATTTTAAAAGACCTTTACAGTTGATAGTTATTTTCCTGTGTGTAAAGGCTGAGAACCTTTAAAATTTATTCTGCTTAATTTGCTTATTTGGCACTACTTTTTGTGATGCCAGGGTCAATCTAGCAAAATATTTGCTCCTGAAATGTATCTTATTATCTAAAGAAAGAATACATGATATTCTAAATTTTAATGCTTGCCATTTTAAATGTACTTCATTTCCTGACCTTATCTTCTCAGGCTTAAAAATCTACAATTGTAAATTTCGGTGTAAATCAGGTTGTATATTTTTATTTTGGTCACAGAGAGCTTGAAATAATGAAAAAAAAGGAGAGTTTTATAATCAATCAGTTGTTACCTTCTAAAAATATATAACTAAATATTTTTTATACAAACATATAGAAATTATGAATCTGTACCACATTGTGTATTTAGCCTACTGATCAAGAAGAGAACTCCACATGTCATAAGTATTTTACCCAAATAAGAAGGAAAAAGGAGTCAGTAATAGCACACTCACAAATACAACATGGGTGTAAATAAGCATCAATTCTGTAATGTCATTTTTTCCATTTACTAAAATGGAGAATAAGAAAGCAAGGAAGAAAAAAAGAGGGAAGGAAGAATCTCCTGCACAGGCCAAATCCCAATTCATAGTTATTTTTCAGAAGTACACCTCAGGGTCTCATTGAAAAGCACTATTTGACCATAGTGTGGAGGAGTCTGTGTGTGTGTGTGTGTGTGTGTGTGTGTGTGTGTGTGTGTGTAGGAGACATAAATAGAGGGAGAGGGTTTAAAAAGAAAAATACATTTTCACCTATTCCCCTCAATATTCTTCATATATAGAAGCTTCTGTACTAATCCAGAAAATGGCAAGAAATTAATCTTCACAATGTGATACAACTTAGAGTTTTGTTTTTCTAACTGCAATTTGAGCAGCTCACAGCTTTACCTTCCAGTTCAAAACAATCACAATGTCATGAAACACTCCTCTTTAGGGATTTCCCACAGTCTTTCTCCCTCTTCCCTCCATGCTGGCGATACTGTGGGCAGTCAGGGAAGAGCAGGCAGGGACTTCAGGATAAAGATCAAGGGACAGTGAGATGGTAGAAGTGTGATGTTTTTAGGCAACACATTCCTCAACATCTTAGCAAAGGGTGGCTTCTTTATTTCTTAGATTATTATATGCATTCTTTGTATGACTTATCTTTTTTAGAATTAAAACTCCAGAAATGATCTTTTCAACTTTGCATTTTAGGGATCTCACTAAACAATATCAGCACCTGTTGGCCATGGTTTTTGCTGTACAAAATTCAACAAGGACCTGAATTTGTTATTCAACATGTCTCTGGGATTCTATCTCTTCAATGTTGACTTCATTGAGATGAAGGCTGTGGAGAGTTCTCTGTCTTTGCTGTCAGGAGAGAGTCCTCCGGTTCCTAACTATAACTGCAGGTTTGAGAAAAGAAACAAGCTGGTGGCTGTGATAGGAGGTATTTCAACAGGAATATCAACCACGATTTCCCAAGTATTAAGTCTCTACAATGTCCCACAGGTAAATAAAGATTCTAGGGTTTGAGGTTAAACACAGTAATTTTGTATGTTAAACATAATAATATAGCAATGAATATCAAGCAAGTCAACTTATGCTTATTTAAAAAGTATGTACTTCTTAACAATATATTGTTTACAAATTCTTTTTCTCTAAAATATAATTTATTCATAATATAAAATTGTGTTTGTATATAAGATTCCCTTTTGGAAGACTTTAAAGTGAAGAAAAATATATAACATAAAAAAATGTTAACCTATAATTTGGGCCTAATGTACTCATCAGGATTCAGTAGTTATCAGAAATAAAAACAAACATTACTTTGTTTCATTTATGAAAATTGCTTATTTTTGTATACCTATTAAATACTGTTTTCTTCATTCTTTCTTCCTCTTTTCTCCCCTCCTCACCTCCTATAATTTCTTTTTCTCTCTCCTCTTTAAATCACCCCTTCATCTATCCAGTTAGTTAATAAGCACATCTATGTCCAAAGATCATACTTTTGGAACTGCTAAGTGTAGATGTGTATTAAACATTAAATTTTTGATATCTGGTGAGCAGTTGGGTACATGGGTCTAGGGCTTGGGCTGAGTACTAGAGTTGATATATAAATTTCGGCATCATTTAGAAAATGTGTGTTTGAGAGAAAATGGAAATGATCTAGTATGAGCTGTAGGGTACTTTGATATTATGAGCTTGGGAAGATATAGAAACTTCAGTAAAGAAGACTGATAATGAATGTCATATCGCAGAAATGTATTCCTTAATTAAGGAATACTAAAAACTGATTAGGTACATGTTTCAAGGGAAAGCAAATAATCAATTTTTATACCAGTGGTAGATTAAATAAAATGAGTTATGGTAATTGATCATTTTACTGAACAACTTAAGCAATTAGTGACCTATTTTTTAAAAAAAGGAATGGTGGAGGAAATACATGATTGATAAGTTTATGGTTGGAGCATTTAGAGATGTATAGGAATAACAGCTTAGACAACTCAGCTTTCAGTTTTCTGTGAAGAAGGGTAGCAACAAGGGAGTAGCTGCAGGGTGTTAGATAATGACATTTTGGGGAAATATTCTGGCCTTTATCCTAAACAATTTCATTTATGGATAGTTCACTATGTGTACTTTATATATCAGGAAGACATTAGGGACTTTTAGTGAAATTCAGACTTCTTTCTCTAGTGAATTTTAAAATGCTTAGTACATTCATCTTTCATAGTTCACTTGGTTATGTATTTGTGGCTTCAAGAAAAAGTCTAGAGTGTTAATAGAAGATCATTATAGGACATTCTGAATTTGCAAATAATCTTTGAAGATTCATGTTTTCATAACTCAGGAGATGTAAACTTTTATGACTTTGTTTAAAGATATTTTTTAAAAGAATAAATAAAAGATATATGTAATGTCAACAGTGAAAATTAAGTGATGGGTGATCTGCAACAGATTGATATTTAAATGTTATTTGTTCAATTGTTTTATATCTTCCACAATGCATGTAAGTCATAAGATAAATTAAGCCATTTGTGAATAAGCATCATTATTCTGTACAAGCAGTAACTTTGTGTTTTGTTTAGATCAGTTATGGTCCATTTGACCCCAGTCTCAGGGGCAGAGTCCAGCTGCAGTCTCTTTACCAGTTTCCCATGAGCACTGCAGCTCTGTATCAGGGATTCATTCGATTGATGCTTCATTTTGGTTGGGTCTGGATTGGCCTTGTGGTTCCAGATGACATCAGGGGAGAAATGTTCTTCAGGGACATGACCCAGGAAATGGCCAACCACGGACTCTGTGTTGCATTTACAGAAAGGATTCCAGAATTTCCTGCTAAGGTTACAGTTAACAGGAAACGTTTTGTGGAAAGATTCACGTTGGCCAATGTCAGTGTTGTATTTGGTGACACTTATTCTCTTCTGAGATTTGTATATAACATCTATTGTAATACCCCATTTGGCAATATCTGGGTTACAACTTCTGATTGGGATATAACTACATTACCCTTTGAACAAAGTCAAAGTTATATATATTTTGGTGGAGGATTATCATTCTTTGCTCATGTGGATGAGATTTCTGGTTTTAAAGATTTCCTCAGAAGTGTGCAGTCTGCAAAATATCCTCATGATGTCTTTATCCAGGATGTGTGGTCAATAATGTTTGGATGTCCATATTTACATCAACATGGTCTCAGGGTATTGAGTCAATGTGAACAAAATGGCACCCTGAACACTCGAACTCTGAATGTTTGGGATATGAATACCTCACTTCAGAGTTACAAAGTCTATGCTGCTGTGTACACTGTTGCCCAGGCCATTCGTGAAGAACTGTTGCTCAAAGCAGAAGAAGAATGAGATGACAAAGGTATACATGAGGCTCCTCCTCCGTGGCTGGTAGTAATAACTTATTCTTGTATTTTCAAACCACTTCACAGTTATCTTCAAATTAGAGAAAAGATGTGTTTCTAAGAGAAAAATGCATTTTAGAAGGACCCTCATTCTCACTCTGAAAACCTAATAATTCTATCATAAAACAATCCGTAACATTTGGGGAAATGTTTATCAGATGCTACTTATATTTAAACAATGATATTTAGGCCATATTATGGTAATACATGTGTTTTCTTTGCAATAGTAAAGAAAGGGAAGAGATTAGAATAGTTAACCCAAAAGATTTTCACAAGCATTAATATGGACTATTTGAAGAGACATTTAGGCATATGTGATACAAATATTTCATTTTACAGTTTTTTGTTTTGTTAAATTTGTCCTACAATGGGTAAATAATTTCTTTAATGCCCAACATGGTGGTATAAAACTAATCTCAGCAAGAGAAGGCTGAGGTGGGAGGATCAAAAGTTCAGGTCATCTTGCGCTATATAGAGACCTTGCCTAAATAATGCAACCAACCAAAGAAGTAAAAATAGCTTTTTAAAAAAAGAAACTGGACTCAGTGGGTAGCATGGACTCAGTTCATGTCATTCAACTTTCTATACGTTCTTTTCACTAAATTCATTTATCTCTTGGTCTCTAATCCTTTTTACTAAGCTGTGCAAAATAGAATCAAATCATGTTAATAACAGGTTTACTTTTTCTCTTCTGACTTTTTCTTCAAAATATATTTGAAGATATCAGCTGTTAAAAAATGAGTTTCTGAAGAATTTGAAAAGGTTAATTCTGAAATTAGTTGAATTATTTTCTATCTTTTCACTGTGGTGACTACAAGGATAATAGAAATATTACAGTGTATAGAAGAGTACTTAAAAAGTTTTCTTTTTTTTTGCATACCCTCAGTAATTTAAATATCCCATGTCTTAGCTTTTGCAGTTAAAAACTAGTAATGCACCACAAACCATCCTCTACCCGGCATCTACATTCTAGTTGTCTTCCCAATAGATGATCAATGAAATGGACTTATCCAGAAATAAGTCATTTCAATAAGTTTATCACTATCCCCATGTCATAATCCATACTTCCAGACAAATGGGCAAGTGTGGATAGGTACCCATTTAATTTTTCTCTTTTAAAACAATCACAATCTACTTTGTACTATATGGTCAATATTATTCCTTTTCAGTGCATACAGAGCTTTTCATTAGTTTTAATTTTGGAGTTGCATTTCCCTTGTAGAAAATATATTATTGTCCAATAATGTATTTAACCAACTATTCATCCATTTACCAAATACTGAACATGATTTCACATGCTAATTAGTAAATTTTCTTATGCTAATTTTTGAATTGGTCCAATCTTATGCCCATTTTTCTACTTTTGTCTTTTCCTTTTTCATTTAGAAAAGTTTTTAATATATGTATTGAGAATATTTTCCTCTGTGAGTTGACGTTTCATTATTCTGTTTCCATTAGCAAATGTTAACTTCTATGTAACCCAATTATTTTCTTTCCTTTATGGTTTATGCTTTTTGTCCCATTGAGAAGTCTTTGCTTTTATCAAGGTAGTGAAGATTATTCTCTAGTCTTCTTCTAAAAACTTTATTCCTTTATATTTCACTTTTTGATAGCCATGTATTTGAAATTGATTGCTCTGTGTGAACAGATGGGGGATCAAGCTGGGAGCTGCTGGCTCGTGTGTGTAATCCTAGCTAATTAGGAGGTTGAGATCAGGAGGATCACAGTTTGAGGCCAGCCTGGATCCCATTTCTAAAAAACCAGAGAACACTGGACTGGAGGTGTGGCTTAAATGGTAGAGCACCTATTTTGCAAAGTGATGTCCTAAGTTAAAACTCCATTTCCCTCCCCACCCAAAAAATAGATGGGAGGAATCAAGATAACTTTTTTCACTATGAATAGTCAATTAGCCCAGGGCATTTTATGGAAAAAGGTATACCTCCCTGTATTACCCGCTCTGTATTATCATTTTAAAATTAGGTGCCTAAATTTATAATTCTGTTCTTTACTCTATTCTGCTTTTTTAGTTGTTAGCCTGTAGAAATTTTATGCTGTCATAAGTACTATAATTTTATAATAGAAAATTTTTATTCAGTTTGCTTGCAGCTGATTTATAAATTAATGTTTTATATGTTTGTATTTATTTTATGACTTTATTTTTAACATTCATTTTGTATTTATTTCATATTTATAATCTACAAATGTTATGTATGTAATTATATAACCTGAAAATAAAAGTTTTTATTTATTTCTAGTCTTATGATTATATTTCCTTTTTGCCATACTAAACAAGAAACCCCTTTGATAAATTTGGATAAAAGTAATGCTCGCTGGCATACATACTTGTTCACAAACTTAAGAAAAACAAATTCATACTTTTATTAATTGTATGAATTGTTCTGTAATTTGTGGATGCTGTTTACTAGAGAAACAAAACTCCAAATTTTCTAAGAATTTAAAAATATTAAGGTTCACTTTTGACAAACTTTTTTTACATCAATGAAGACAATCATAATAATGGATGATTTTTATATAAAGTTTTCTAATAATACAGTGAATTACATTAATCAGTTAATTTAAAACATGATACTATGCATGCATTCCTGAATAATCATGAACATGATACACTGATTTTCTTATGTTGTATTTGATTTCCATGTATGTTATTGAGAAAAATTAGTCTGCAATTTTCTCTGTATCCAGCTTTAATGAAGTATAATTGACAAAAATTGTACATAATTCAAGGTATAAAACGTATTTTAATATTTGTATGTATTGTGAAATGGTTACCCAACTATGCTAAATAACATATCCCTCACTTCACAGTTACCTTTGTGTGTGTGTGTGTGTGTGTGTCTCTGTGTGTGTGTGTGTGTGTGTGTGTGTGTGTGTGTGTGTGTGTGTGTGTGGTGAGAGTACTTAAGACTTACTCAGCAACCTCTGGTACATAATATGAAATTACTAACTATAGTCACTGTGTTGTGCAACAGGTCTTTAGTGCTCATTCATCGTATAAATGCAAATGGGTTGCCTATGACCAACATCCCACCACCTCCTGCCCCAGAAATGGCAGGATTTTCTTTTTTGTTTGTTTGTTTATTTAATTTGCAGCCCTAGGGAATGAACTCAGAGCCTTGCATTTTATGAACAAGTGTTCTACCATTTTTTCAGTTTCTAAGGAAATTATCACTGAGGTTTAAACTCATGGCTTTTCCCTTGCTATGCAGGTGTTGTAATACTTGAGCCACACCTTTAGATGAAATTGGAATTTTGATAGGATTTGTATTGAATGTTTGCATCATTTTGGATAATATGTGCATTTTAGCAATATTAATTCTTCCGATTCATGAATAAGGGATATACTTACTTCTATTGTTTCTTCAATTTCTTTTATCAATATCTTATGGCTTTCACTTGGTTTTAACTCCTTAGTCAAATTTATTTATAAGAATCTTAGTTTTTGATGCTATTATAAAAGGAGATTGCTTTCTTTCTCTATGTTGGATAGTTTGTTGTTAATTCATAGAAGCAAAACTAATTTTTGTATGTTGACTTGGTGTCCTGAAACTTTACTGAACGTGTTTATTAGGTCTAACATGCTTTTGCTGGAGTCTAGGGTTTTCTCTATATAAGAGCATTCCCATAACGTTATATTTCTTAGTAATACTGTAACTATTTTTCTTCATGCAAGCCATTCTATTATGTTTCCACAACAACAAAATTGCCTAATGTCATGTTTTTCGGGATGCAAAACTACAGCTAAGCAACATCAAATTACTTTCCATTTATAGTAGTCATTGATAGGGAAGGACTTATCATTTTGTTATTTCTTTCTTACTGCTTTATTTTTTTCCTTTTTTTCTCTTTCAGTCTTCATTTGTGATTTTCTCAAGTGGTATGATTTAATTCCTTTCTCTATTTTGTGTATCTACTATTGGTTTTTGTTTTGCAGCAAAAACCTTTGCAATAATCCTGAGACATACATAAAACATCTTAAAATTATAACAGTCTATTTTAAGCTGATAAATACTTAACTTCAATCATATACAAAAAACTGTTATTTATTTCATTTTATATTTTTATGTTGTAATTTATATCTTTTATGTTGTGGCTCCATTAACAAGTTACTATAAGTATACTTAGTTTTTCCTCCTTTTATTTTACCATTTTTACATTTACTTGCATGTGTATACATTGTTTGTACCACCTCCCCCATCCCCCAAACCCTCCTCCCCCACATCCAGGCAGAACCTGTTCCACCTTCTTCTCTGATTTTCTTGAAGAGAAAACATAAGAGATAATAAGGAAAACATATCATATCATTTTTGCTAGCTTGAGATTCCCCCATCCCCCCAAACCCTCCTCCTCCACATCCAGGCAGAACCTGTTCCACCCTCTTCTCTGATTTTGTTGAAGAGAAAACATAAGAGATAATAAGGAAAACATATCATATCATTTTTGCTAGCTTGAGATAAAGATATTTATGCAGAGAGATTCTTAGCATTCCTTCCATGCATTTGTGTATTGCAATCCATAATGACTCATCTCTACCAGACCTCCTCTACTTCCTGGTCCCCTTTCCATAGTGGCCCCTGCTAGTTTAAGATTGCTATATTCACTCCTCTGGAATGGGCACATCAACCACATTCAAGGTTTAGGTTTCCTTCCCTTTCCCTATTCCTCCCATGTGTGTTCTCCCCTCAATGTGTAATCCAGGTCCAATAATATTACTGCATTTTTGGGTCTATAACCCACATATTTGTTTTAAATATTTTTGTCTTTTAACCATTACTCTGTCACTAAGACTGATTTACTAATCACAAATACTGTATTCTAGTATACTGAATTTGACTATAGACTCATCAATGGGTTTTACATTTTCCTATGTTTCATTTTAATACTTAGCATCCTTTCATTTCAGTGTGAAGAACTCCCTTTAGCAATTCT